ACTTTCCGGGCATGAGCAGAACGGAAGGCGTGGGGCGGGGAGAGGGGGAGAGGATTGAGTTCCCTCAGGTGTGTGTTCCGCAGTCAGGCCCTGCCGGACACTCGGGCATCACCACACACTGCCCATGAGGGCACTGAGGAGAAGCAACACCTGCAAGAACAGGTCTCAGAGTGTTCGCGTTTAATTCATTTACTTCTGGATTTCTCTGTCAGTGCTTTACAAAGTTGGGAGCCAAAGAGCTACCTTAAATATGACGAATAACAGTCTGTATACCACAGTATCCATGGTACCCCAAATTTTAAAAAGTTAAACATTTAAGATAAAACAGGTACTTTTCACGTATTAGTACATTCCACACTAGCAGCACTTATGGAGCCCATTATCTTCTATTTCTTTCTGAAAGTACTAGAGACACAGAGAAACCAAGTCACATACCGCTGGTCAGCCAGCGAGGTAGCCAACAGAGCCTGGACACAAATTAGGGGTGCCCACGAAGTGAAGAGCACTTCACACTGCTTCTCCCCAGAGCAAATCTAGATTTAATACAAGGCAGTTGCAGTGCAGCATACCTGTAAAAAAGGTTCCCTTCCAACCCCAGGACACAGAACAGCAGTTCCGAGACATGGCTGGGAGGTGCCACCTGCCCAGTTCACTCAGTCTCACGCACCACCTGGTACCCCAACATCAGTGGGGGTGCAGTGGAGGCCCCTCAGGACCTTGGTGGTGCTCCCAATCTCCCTTGGTCTGCAGTCCCAAGCAACATTGAGCCCTCCGGCCTTTCGGAATAAGACTCTTAGTGATTAAGTTCTGATAATTTCATTTGCCTTTATGCTGTAACAAACAACATGAAGGAAATTTGTATCTGCAAGGGGACAGGTCGGGGTGGTGGGTGAGGTAACTAGGGGCATTGGGGAGGGAAAGGCACAGTGGAGGGGGGAGTGGGTCAGATTATTTAGTGTCTGAAACAACTGTATTGGTTAATCATGGTATTATGATTTAAATAAAAAAAAAAAACATGTAAGGCTTTTCCTGGAAGGCTGTAGGGCCTCCTGAGATCAGCTTGGAAGCCTCCAGAAAAAAAAAAAAGATAAAGAAAAAGTATTACACTTACAAGCAAACTGCCAGGCTTTAATTTACTGTGTGTGGTGTTTCCGATCCATCCAGAAACCCTCTACCACCCACCCCCCACACCCCCGCAATGTTTACCACCTTTGCCGTTTGAATGTTGACAGTACCGAGAAAGTGAATGATATCTCTAAAATTCAAAGTCTACTTTCTTGAGGACCTAAAATGGTTCCCTTCACTTTGTGTCCCTAACAAACAGAACAGAATACATGCCCAGGACAGAATACACGCACACTAATTGCTAGTAAAGAATCTGACTTCAAATGCCATATGCTATTCCAACAGTCTAGTACATTTCTAATTTGTGCAGAAATGTGAACAGATTTGTCAGTGACTGCTGCAAATTCCAGTCAAACTAAGAGGGAAAAAAAAGTATAAGCCAAAACTTGCAGAATAACTGGGCTGGCTCCCCACCCCCACACTCTGCACAGTCTTTGTGATGAGGTAGCTGCCTTTAATTCCAAAGCTTCTTCTCCAGTGACTCCCTCTGCTGCCCCAGGAAAGCTGTGCGCTAGATCAGGAATTGCTCAAAGTAGTGGAGGCCTGAGGGAGCACATGGCGGAGAAGCTCAGGAGATTCAAGAAGAGAAATGGAAGTCTCAAGGAGCCTGCCAGATGCCCAGTGGAAATCTGCTGCCTTTATGTCCTCAGGGGGTTGCTTTAAAAAGATCAGTATGAATTCTGCTGGACAACCAGTTCCCAGGCGACAAAAGAAGATGCCTGGGACCTTTTCCTTTGAACCCTGAATTTCCAGTATGCAAGACCCAGGCGGCCAGGAGTCAATCAATGCTCACAACCTAGTGATTTTGCATTCATTGAGTTTGAAAAGTTTCTTCCTTGCTGCCTTTATAAACCACCCTAAATTAGCCAGCAATACGTTGTTATCTTTCTAAACAAAGGTAAACTAGCTTACTTTTTGCAAAATCTGAATTCACTAATTAACTCAGTTCCTAAAATGGAAAAATATCAAAGCAATGAATTGCAGCTATTTTCATGCCAATTTGTCCTTGTAATAATAAACACAAGTGCATAAATGCATGGAGGCATGCATTTTTCTTCTAAAAGTAATATTCTAAATTAACTCGTGAATAAAGGAACTTACCCCACTGTGATCAGTGCCCTCAGTAACTATCTGTTCTGCACCTGGTGTTAGCACTCATAAAGCTATGAGTGATAGATAAGTAGAAAATTTGTGCCCTGTAGTCCAGAAACAAACACAGTTATAAAACAGGAGGGCATTCATCCTGAGGGACTGACCCAAAGTGTAAGCCTACACGCAGTGTGTACACACTCTCCCTTTTCCTAAAATCAAGCGTTCTTAGTCAGAAATACCACAGATTTCCTGGAGTCAGGAGCCAGCAACCCTTAAACAGCCAGGGCAGAGTCTGTAAGGAGAAAGCTGATGCCTGAACTCTGAAGTCTCCTAAGGACCTGAGTAAAACGACTGCTGTCTTTCTTTGAACCACAGTGACAAAATGAATTGCACTCACAAATAATGCACTTTCTAGCTGTTTTAAAATTTAAACATCTGTTATTTTCTTGACTATTTCAAGAGAGGCACATTTCTAAGCTATTTTTTCTTACACCTCTCTATGATCACAGTGAAAACTTCATTCATATTATAAACGTCTTACATTCAATTTCTTATCATATGTGCACATGAAATTTTATGCATGAAAATAGCTTGAACCCATCTTTAAGTCTCCAACACAAGGAAAGTTCAAAGGATCAAAAGATGTTGTATTTTCTTTCTTACTATTCTAGTGCAGAGAAGTGGAGAAAAGGACAACGGAGATTAAGGAGGAAGAGTAGTAGTATCTCTAAAGGACCAGGACATGAAAATAGAGAGTTGACCCCCAAGGAACTAAGAGAACTAAATGAACTCCATGGCAAAGAGTGGCTCTACATAGCAACAGCACTGAAAGCAAGAGCCCACAACCTCAACAACCAGATGAAAACTGTGCCTTTGGAGGAGGTAGGTGCAGGGCGTGTGTGTGTGTGTGTGTGTGTGTGTGTGTGTGTGTGTGTGTTGGGGGGAGGCTGGGGGGGGCATGGTGGTGGTTGTGGAGGGCAAGACTTGTGAGTGGAGGGAAGTGGACACTGGTGGTTGGGAGTCCTAAAACTCAACTACCAGTGACTTTGTAAATCAAGTGTCTGGATTGAGGGGGAAAAAAAGTCCATAAAAAAACTAAAAGTGCACACCCAACAGAAAACTGCAGATTTCCTCTTAAGACCAGAAGAGCCGGCTGGATCTCCACCTTCGCCCTGGTCCAAAGAGGACCCAGCACAAACCGTGACTCCTGCAGCTTCTGTTCATCTCGCTTTAATCTCCCCCCCACCCTTCTTTCAGTATCAATCCACTCACCATGTCCTGTTTGATTATCTTATTGATCCGCTTTCCTAGCTGGTCTTTTTAATTTGGCTCGAGTAAGCCCTCTGCAGGGAACCCTCATCGCTTGCTCCCCACCTGAGGGGACTTGAACTTGTCTTTTTCCTCGGTTTCCTTCCAGGTCTTCGCCCCCACCCCCCGACCTAAGGAGGCTCCTTCTCTCTCTCGCCCTAAGCAGCAAATCCCACCACCCACCAAGCATCAGGTTGCTCGCGGAAATTTCCAAACGCTGGCGCGCTAGGTTGACTCCTGAGAACTTCCCAGAAATGCACAGGAGCCAGGGAACCGCAAGGGAGAGGCCTTTGTCAAGAGGACGAGGGGCCGCGTCAGCAGAAGGAAACCAGGCGGACCTCGGGGTGGGGGGCTGCGGGCAGTACTAGGCGCAAGCAGGAATTTCCCTCCCCGCGTGGCGACCTCTGCTTCTCGCGGCCTCGCCCATCCAGCACACCCCCTCCTAAGGCGCGCTGGCCCCCAACACCACAAGCTCATCGCTGCACCCCAGCCACCCAGGGCTCGAGCGCAGCAGGGCACGCAAATCTCAAGAAAAGGCGACCCCCACCCCCGCGGGCGGCGATCACCTCGGACCCAAAAACAGGGGCGCGGGCTCTGCGCCAGACCTGGGCCAAGGCTGGCCTCTCCCTCCCGTCCACTGCCCGATGCTGAACGCTCCAAACGCCCGTTTCCACTTCAAACTTGGGGGACTGGGCAGGGCGCCCCCCTCCCCTGACCCTCACCTAGACCTTCTCCTCCTCGGGCCCTGGAGCCTTTTGAGGTGAGCCCGCGAGGCCCGCGCCCTCAAAGCCTGGACAGGAGGGTCCCGGCAGTGGCCGGCGGGCGTCCGTGGGGAGCTCCGGGCTCGGGTCAGAGGCCAGAGCAGTTGTTCAAAGTTTCTTTCTGGCCAGCAGAGGGGAGAGGGTGGGGTGCAGGGACGCGCACCGCTGGCGCCCGACCAGGCTGGGGTTGGAGGGTCCAGCGCGGGCCCCGGGTCCTGCCTAGAGACCAGCAGCCGCGGGAGCCCGGAGCTGGCCGCACACCCGCGACCGCGCGCTTCCCTGCGCACCCGCAGACCCGCGCGGCCCCGGCGAGCATCCCTGCATCCGCACATCCCCGCGTCTGCACGCCCGCATCTCGGCATCCCCGCATCTCTGCATCCCCGCATCTCGGCATCCCCGCATCTCAGCATCCCCGCAACCCTGCATCCCCGCACCCCGGCATCTCGGCATCCCGGCATCCCTGCATCCCCGCACCCAGCAGCCCCGCCGCCCCGCAGCCCCGCAGCCGGGTCGGGCGCGGGGCTGGTGGGCTCCGGACCGACTTTCCCCCAGCCCCGGTGCGTGCCCGACAGGCAGCCGAGCGCCTGCGGAAAGTGGCAGCGGCGGAGACGCGTCCGCGCGGCGCGGGGCAGACGCCGGGTCGGCCGGACCGGGACGCGGGAGCGAGTTGGGCAGGGGGCCGGCGGCGCTGACCGCCAGCGGGCGGGCACTCACCTGGCGCGGCGGCTCCGAGCAGGGCCAGCGCGGGCAGCAGCAGCAGCAGCAGCGGCGGCGGCGGCGGCGGCAGCGCGGGGCCGCGTCCCGGCGGGCGGCGGGGGGCCCGCGCCCCCTTCCCCATCGCGGCCGCTCGCCGGGCGTCGGGCAGCACCTCCGGGCGCCGGGAACCCGCGCGCCAGCCGCGCGCACTTCTGGGCTCGGCCCGCGGCGGCTCCGGGCGGCTCTGCCCCCTCCCGGGGACTCGGCGAAGGCGCGGCCGCCCGCGTCCCCCGGCCGCTCCGCCGCGCGCCCGCCCGCCCGCCCGACTGCGCCCGCCGCTCCCCGCCCGGCCGGCGCTCGGCTCGGGGCGGGGCGGGCCGGGGCGGGGCGGAGGTGCGGGGGGCGGGCGGGGGGCGGGCGCGCTGGAGAGTGCGGGGGGCGCGGGGAGGCGCTAGAGGAGAGGGGTGCGGAGGGAGGGCGCGCGGGGGTGTGCGCAGGGGGCGCGCAAGGAGGGGGTAGCGGAGGGGGCGCGCGGGGAGGGCGCGCAGGGGAGGCGCACGGAGGGGTTAGAGGAGAGGGGTGCGCAGGGAGGGGTTGGAGGAACGGGGTTCGCAGGGGGCGCGCTAGTAGGGGTTGGAGGAACGGGGTTCGCAGGGGGCGCGCTAGTAGGGGTTGGAGAAACGGGGTTCGCAGGGGGCGCGCTAGTAGGGGTTGGAGGAACGGGGTTCGCAGGGAGGGGTGCGGAGGGAGGGCGCGCAGGAGGGGTGCGAGGGAACGGTGCGCAAGTAGGGGTGCACAGGGCGGGGTGCACAAGGAGGACTGTGGAAGGAGGGATTATAGGGGAGGGGTGTGGAGGGAGCGGAGCAGGGGGGGTCGGAGAGGAAGGGTTGCGCAGGGAGGGGTGTTCTGGAAGGTCCGAGTGCCAGGGGTGAGGGGGAACAGTTAGGGGCGGGTGTGGAGGGAGGGGGCTAGGGGAAGGATGCGGTGGGGGGGGGGGGGGTAAACGGCTAGGGGGAGGGGTGCCGAGGGAGGGGCGGGCGCCGCCTCCGCGCTCGGGTTCTCACGCCGGCCGCCGCGTGCCCGGGAGAGGCGCGCCCCTGGGAGGCGGCGGGCGCCTTGGGGAGCCCCGCGAACGGGCGGTCGGCAGAGGCGGCTGGGTGGGCGGTGGGCGCGCGCCTGGCCCCTGCCCCGACGCGTCTCGGCGGGTGCCCGCGCGGCGCTCCCGGGAGGATCCAGCGCCAGCAACGCGGCTGCCCGGCTCGGGTCAGCGCTGGGCACCGTCGCTCCGCCGCCCCGACCGCTCTGGATGCGGAGACTGGGCGTCGGGAGGCAGACGCGAACTCCAGGAGGATGCGCGCTGGACCAGATGCTCTCGGGCCCGGGCACGGGCGGCGGCCGGGCCGCGGAAAGCTGTCCCAGAAACCTCGTCCGCGCGCGTTTGTGGATGCCCAGTGGTGGAGGAAACTAGGGCACGCTGGCCAAGCCCCCAGCCTTGGCCTGGAGGGTCCCGGCTGTCCAGCAAAGCCTCTTTGAGGAGGCGAGGACAGCGCCCCGCCGCGGGCAGCCAGGGCGGGTCCCCGGAGAGTCTGAGGAGTGTAAGGACGCGGGGGTGCGCCGGGCGAACCCGGGAAGGACAAGGCCAGTTCCGCAAGGACGTCCCCGGGTGTCCTGCATCAGGGACGTTGGGAACTTGGCCTGTCGGGGGCCGGTGTGTGGACACACGCAGGCAGGTGCTTGAGGTGTGGTCCGGGACATCTGCCCTGTGTTCCTGGACGGTCAGGGAACAGTCTCTGCGCTCCAGGAAACCTCATCTGACGCGTCTGAGAGGCCTCGTTGGGCAAGGCCATTGGCATCTGTGGTCATTTCTGATCTCAGGTAGGCTCCGCCTGCCAGAGTGAAATCTCTTTATGCCCGGTACTAAGACACCCTGGCACGTGGCTAAGTAGGTAGGTTCTGGGCCAGAGAGGGCACAGCGGGTTGGCGCTGACCTTGCAGGCGGCTGGCCCGGGTTCCAGCCGGGACACCGCATAAGGCATCTCCCCCATCTCACCTGACACTCCAGTCAGCTCCTCCACCAGCGTCCCTGAGAACCATCAGGTGTACCTACCCCCCCCCCACCGAAAAAGTAAATAAACACTGAAACAAAACAAAACAAAAAAAGGGTTTCAGATTCTGGCACCAGTTGTCTGATTTCAATCTTAACGTTTTATATTGCTAGCTGACAAATGTGCAAAGAGCCAGGGGTTAAGATAGGTCAGCACATGAGTGACCTAGCGGGGTTTGTGAGAACTAAATACGTCATACCTGTCATACCTGTGTGGAATGCTGCCAGATAAAACTGTAGCTGCCCTCCTTGGCGATGGCGACGGTTGCCATCAGCCCCACACTTCCTAGAGGCCGCCACCAGGAGGACCATGCTCAGATCTCTGCTCCCCAAGGCTGCCGGCTGTCTGGACACAGGATCCTATTGAACCCTGCCAGGTAGCTACTTTGGGAACTGTAATTTCCATTTAATTTTGTTTTTTAGAGGCCAGTAGGCTAGTGTTCACCATGGTGGAGAGAAGCTGTTCTTTCTTTGCCTGTGCTTTCCAGCAAGATTTAACTGTTTCAAAAGCCCCCCACCCTGAGCTACCTACTTCTTGGATGGAACTATTTTATGACAAAGGTTTGGCCTCATTCATAATTTGACCCTCAGTTCCTAATACAGAGCCTCACTGCCAGCTCTCTACTACGAACCTAAAGAACTGCCCTGAGCATAGCACGATGTCAATGATGATTTATTGAATAGTGACTGAATGGAAGAATGGTGATTAGTGGTTTGGGTGAGTTTTTTGTTTATTTGTTTGCCTTTGTTTTCTGTTGGTTAGGGGGTCCCTGAGGTTAAACTGAAGGGCTCATTCATGACCTACAGCCCCATCCCCAAGTGCCAATAGAATTTTCACCAAGCTAAATCCATGATTAAAATTTTGCTTTTTTTTCCCCAAGATGAATATCCAGAGTATGAGAATACTTTCCTTGCTGTCAAGAATAACTTTGGGCAAAACATCACCCAAAATTAATTTAAATGTGATTTTATATTTTATATATACTGCATGTATTCAAGGAACGGACACAAAATTCATTTCATTTTAAAAAATAAAAAGCTTCATTCAAATCCACGTGCAAGAGCTTCCTTTTTCTTGGCTGAAGTGATTGGAGAATTAATGCTGAGATAATAAATCCCTGTGACAGGTGCTAATGGGAATTAAACATGCAAATCCCCGGCATGTCCCTCCAGGAACCTGTACTAAAAAAAGTACACTATTTAGCATCGAGGCTGCCTAGTTACAGTGTTATTTACTCTAACATGAAAAAAATAAATTTCAGAGAGCAACCAATGTATGTTACTTGTAGATATTTTTATTGCTAATGTGTTATGCCTCACTTTTTGTGTTTTATCTGCTTTTTAAAAGATCATCATACCAGGGATATGATTGCCCTACAATAAAGAAGCAAGTTTTTATGCAATATAAATGGGATGTCAGTGATGAAACACCTTTCTAACCAGCAGCTAAGGGTTTGTAGATCTCAGGGACAATTACTGATAAACTCAGAGAAGCCAGATGGTCCAGATCTCATTGTTTCAGCTCTCCATTCTCTGCCCCAGCTTACAGAAGGGAATTTCACTTGCCATAAATCTATACGCTCTGAGGATTTATGCTTTACATTAACTGTATTATACGTGTTCAAAGTGATACAAACTCCAAACATCTTAAGGAGAGAAAGTGAGAGATTTAGAGACAAATCACTCATAGATCTTAAAATTCATGGAGAAAATATCCACATTCATAAAGATTGACATTGTCTTCATCATGGACTATGTAGTGGTCACTGTTCTGAGCATATTAAACATGTTATCTCATTTAGTCCTCAAAATAAGGATTAAAATTGCTCTCATTTCTCTTAGCAGAGAGGTTAAGTAACTTTGTTGAAGTCATGCACCCACACCACTAGCATGAGTTTGATATGAAGGGGAATGTTCTAGATTCGAGAACACAAGCACTTCTCTTCACTGGACGCGTTCTGTTCCACCATGCTCCTCCCTTCTGGCATCATTTGCACGTGGTAATGTACAGCCTGGAATTCTAGAGGCTCTGCCCTTCCCTGTTCTACCAGCATACTCAGTGCAGAGTACTCTTCTTTCTAAACAGGAAAAAACCCTGCAGGATTATATTCCTTTCTGCCATGGGGCACGTTCCCATGCCTACCACCACAGCAAATTCTTGAAATACATGACATTTGAATAAATTGCAAGGCCTGAACCATGTGCTTTTTTGCTGGCAACTGGAAATATGAATTGAGAGTAAGGAAAAGGGAGTCTTCAAAAGAAAAGTCAGCTTACCAAGAAGGAAGATTAAAGCAAAAGAGAAATGTCAAGAGATTTGAAGTAAGCAGACAAAATGATAGATAGTGTGGGGACAGAATTCGTTCTTCTCCAGGTTGGAAATTTAGGCTGCATCACTGTAGAAAATGAAGAGCATTGGTCAAGAAATGACCGAAAAGCAATCCCAGGAGATTGTATTTTTCCATTTGTTGACTAGAACAAGTGATATTTATAATCACTTAATCAATGCAATTCAGTTGAGTTCAACTCAATTAAGGAAAGTTTTATCAGTCTGTACTGTATTGCAGAACAGCCCAAGTATTCTTCAGATTATCTGAGGACAATAGAAATATTATAGGCATAAGGTGCTTGTCCGGCACTCAGTTGCCTGGTTGGATCTCCAGCACCCACATGACCCACCAAGCACTGCCAGGAGTGATTTCTGAATACTGTCAGGAGTAAGGCCTGAGTATAATTGAGTGTAGACCCCAATCCCCTTATCACTCCCACAAAAGAATACTTTTGGATGAGAATTCTTGTGCACCAAGGGCTTCTGGTTTAAAAGATTAATAAACTAAAGAATTGCGCATTAAGAAAAAATTATGAAAATAGCAGGTTATAAGAAAAAAATTTAGAAAGATAAATCTGAGAAGAAAATCATTCAGAAGAGCGTAGTGCTTCTCTATTAGAAATGCTGTTTCACACAAAATATGTACTTTGCTAAGAATAAGCCTATGAGTTAGCAGTTTAAGCTAGTATAGAGATAGTGACTCAGTTAG